CCAGTCGCTAGCGACCGGTCGTGGACTATGAAAGATGCCAATACTCGACCGGCGGTATCGATCAAGATTCAGTTGTAAACAAGAGCCAATGCCGCCCCAGTCGGCGCGCTCGTGAGCCGGTCGGCGGACTATGAAAGCAGCCAGGCAGTCCATGCCGAGTCAATCAGGAAGACCCCTGCTGCTGTGACCTTTCAGCAACACAAATGAGCATGCATTCTAGAAGTGACGAAACATGATTTAATTAACTTCCTTTTTAAATCGACAGGATCAAGGGAAGAATAAACAAGAGATGAAACAAGTCTTGAATTATAATGCGTATCCAAAAAAGCAACCAACATCAAATGAAAACTAATTTACATATACAAAACTAGTAACATAGAAGTTGAGCAGTAAGTTAGAACGAGAAGCAACTGTACTCATTGCGTCTACTATTAGACTGGCGGAAAAATTCAGTTTCTTTCTTGTTTTTTTCTTCACCTTGAATTTGGTAAATCTGCTCTCAGCTTGACAGCGCCTAAGCGGCAACGCCGACAGTGGTAGACAATATATATATATATATATATATATATATATATATATATATATATTAATCTGTGTAACATGTGTAATATATATTACATATATTATGTATTATATATATTATATATAGTGAATTTGTGTGAACTATTTTCCATGCATAGCATTAACAAAATGAACGCACCGTCATCTTATATGACCGCCTCCTGTACAAAGCATAGCTCCGGCGGCACGCAGAAACTTTTGAGAAACTCCGGATTTAGTTTTTTTCAGATTTCTTAGATGCATCAGCAGTGATGTGTTTGGAAGCGCAGACTTCCCTCTCCAGTACACCCTATACCAACGGATCGTGGTTGCGAGCCGGAAAATTAGTCGACCGATTGGAAGCAGGGAGGGAATTGCGGACGTCTCCCCAACACCAGTCTTGATTGCTTCCTTATGTGAGCAAGTACGCGGGTGTTTCCGAATCGTATCCCTGGAATGGTTTTTTACCCTAAGCAGCACCTTCTCGAGGAATTCCCTCATGGAAATATTCCTATCATTTTAGTATCTTGCTCTATAAAAAATGAACGATATCGCTCCGATGGCACAGATTCCAGCCCAAATCATCACATAGGAGGAACGTGGCTACGAGAGACGATCTTTCTCTTCTCAACTTCCTCTCCACTTGTGGTGAGATATATAAGTGCAATCTGGGACCTGAACATTTCTTCCACGCTGAACACTTTTTGTCAGAAAAGTGTGTCGAACAGCGGGCCACGTGCAAGTAGGGCACGGAAATTGTGCTTACTCTCGAATTTTTCTAGTAAAAATGCTTATAAGGCCATCCAAACCTCTTTATACGCAACTGTATTTACTAGCGGAAGACTGCTCATCGAAGTTGAACATACTTCAACTCGGCATTCATTTTTCTCGTGTTTCTGCAAGTTTCGCAGCGCAATTATTCCCAAGCAGTTGTATTCGGGGAAGGAGTACAGCTGTATTCGGGGAAGAGGTAGTAATCGAGACGAGGCGACTGTCTTTAAGTTGCTAGTTGACCTGCCCGCGCATCGCGATACAGGAGACTGTTAAGCGAGTAGTGTCGAAACGACGAGAGATTCCGGGAAAGAACCCACTGAATGCGCGCAAACACGGAACGACTGCTGGATGAGTGTGAGGCTTCAACACTCCACGCGAATGGAGAGCACCAAAGCAGATATGTGAGCTAAGGAATACCATGAACATAAAAGAAGTTGCAAATATGAAACCCTCTGAACAAGGAAATTGAAGAATTTCGTAAGGTTGCCACCATATATACAGGGGTGCCCAAAAAAAAGAGACACTTTCACTGCTCGGCTTGTACCACCAATGTATTCAAACTTTATTAAACCCTGACTGAATATTACCACCCGCAAAATCAAGAACACATTGTACTCGATCACGTAATTCTTCAGTGGCTTTCCGCACGGACGAAATCGAAAGTTTTTGCCACGCAAATTTGATGTCGTCGGAGGTCGGCGAGATCGGCTCGTCCCCACGACGTCGTAGACCATTGCGGAGTTGTCGGGGCTACAGGAAGTCAGCGGTCTTCCAGATCCTAAGCGACGATCCCAGAAATCTGTCCGTGAGCGACTCGATTGAGAAAGTTGCGTGTCTGCTTGTTGCCGACCGATATCCCATAAGTCGTCTTGAGCGCGTCCGTAATGGCAGACGGCTTTATATTTTGATGCCAATATAGGAACCACACGGGTTCCTGCTTCCTTTCATCAAGCAACACTCTTAGTACAATTTACTCAATCACATTCTTCTGCTGCTTCAATCGGTGCGACGTATTCAGCCCTGGATTAGGCCCCATGCATGGTGTCTCTTTTTTTTTGGGGCACCCCTGTATATATCAGTTGCTTTTATTTGCTTCGTATTTTCCTTCTGTAGTTGCTGTATGGAGAACGATACTAATCAAAGCCGTCAGCCGCTACACCATATTATTTTTCACCGCCGCGGCATCAGTATGAAAGCTGCCGAGGATCAAACCCTCCATCAAAAGTGAAGTCTTCCTAAACAACAAGGGAGTGCGAAGGAACTTAAACTCAAAGTTAAACTAAACCGGATTGAAAGGAAGGCCGATATATTTCACCCCCTCAAGCCCGTTCGTCTTAAATGTCACGTGGACGCCTGATTGACTCTGCTCATTCTACCCAAAAAAAACAAAAGGCTGGAACAACTATTCATTAACGATGAAGCGATGAAAAGTGGTTTCAGTACAACAACATCAGTAGGGTAGAACAAGGTTACCCAATAAGGTCACTTCATGAAGGTTGTGCTGTCGATCTAGCGGGATGTGTATGAGCTAGGACATTGGCAGCTGGATGAGGGAGGCAATACGACTGCAATTTTCACTTTTTACTTTTTAACAACGGAATCTGAAATGGATCGTCGATGGGATGGCATTGTCCGGGAAGTTTACATTTAGCATGACAACCGTACACACACGTTATAAAAAAGGTGAAGTCGGAACATGTGCATCACGGTTGAGCGGTATCTGCTCCTTCACGTATGAACCAGACATTGCTCCTTTCTACTATATGTTGTTCTCCGATCTGCCCGCTACCTGGACGGAAGAAGCTTCAAGATCCACTCCGATGTCAGAATAGTTGACGTCGTACTTTGTCTCAAGTCAGCCTGCATCTTGAAGGGGCACCTAGAAGGTGCCTGAGCTTAGTCAAGTGGTCGACAATGATGGTGGATCTATCTGATCTCTTGTGCTTTTGTACATCGAAAGTTGTTACTAGAAAATAAGACAAAACTTTCACGCCAACCTAATAGCAAGTGATGAAACGGAGTGTATAGAATATCCGACAGAATGAGAAAACCTCTCAAAGTCAATGACGTAATCAGTGATGAAATAAACAGAGGGTTGAACATATGCTGCCTATATGCTGTTGATACAGTTGCGGGGTATATTCAAGGTTGTTAAGCGATAGAAGTGAAATGACAACAACATCATCTCGAAGCATTATCCATACTGAATTCGAATAGATCTTTACGTGCAACAATCATGCGACATTCAAAAGAAAATTGTAGAAGCTAGAGACATGTAATTGTGTAAAGATCAAATCAAATCCGTCTCGATTCGATATCCAGTCAGACATTTTTTCACATCACTATTGAGTGGCTCAAAGTTGCAGAAGCACTAATTGCAAAGTTGGACGAGAAATATAGCTGGTGGAATCCTATACGATCGACACGTCCTTAATCTGATCCACAAGACGACTGTTGGGCGCACTTCTCGCTATGAGCAGAGCACAAACCACTGAGTGACCTTTGGAATCAGCTATGGCGTACGCAGTGCGATCTATAGTAGTCATACCTCCAGATATTTTAAAAGTGTAGTTTTAAAAATCTCCTAGGAATTCTTAGGTGTTGGGTTGGTGCACGGGTCGTATAATACTTTCTCGCCGCCTGAGAAATATTGAAATAAACTAGAATAGAAAATCCAATCCTCGGCCAGTTCCTGATTACCCCTACGACAATAAGAGACCTCAATACAAGCGCGGGTTAAAGGCACAGTTCACGATTTAAATGGCTTATGAGATATCCCCCTAGGATGAAAAAGTGACCACCTCCTCCTCATGGCGCTATCAAGTCGCAAAACGGCCTAGATAGGGCATTTTAAAGGATCATTTGTTCCGATTGTATGCGCGGATGGGATTCAAGAAAGGCATTGTAGGCATTCACAAGGGAACCTACGTAGGGAGTTCAAACAACTTGTCATGACCAATGGCGGCAGTGGGAGGCAGTTTTGGACAATTTTGACTTAATGTAGACCGCTCTCTGTCTAATTGCAACAACTGGAATCTCGTTCGAATATCTCAACCATGCCATTTTTGTCATGATAATCTCGTATTACTCCAAGTTCACTCGGAAGCCTTCTTTCTCACGGGGTCGGCGGAATCTCTCACTATCAATCGATGCACAACCCTCAACCAATACTTTCGCTTTTGACTTGAAATTGGTATCTCAGTGTTATCGTGAACTATGTCTCTGAGAGGTCTACGCAATTTCGGGCCCTCATCAATTCAGTGCATCAAACAAAACCAACTGTGTCTATGACCTGGGAGGTTCTGGTCCGCCTTCCTCGCTTAAGAGCACTTTTGGTGAAAATTGTTGCTAAAGATGGAGGCTGGATGCTTTGTTACCATGGTCAGTGGCTGTCTGTAGGAGAGATGCCAGCGTCGAGAGCGAAGTCTGATTCTTTCAAAAAAAAAGTGTTGCTTTGGTCTTGGTGGAGTTGCAAGGTGTGCTTCACTTTAGATCCTGTATGATGGTGTTATATTTGAAAACTACTGTCTACGCTAACCAAATACGGAGACTCAGGTTTCTGAGCCGAAATAAGCCGAAAAACCAGCGAATCGTGTAGATGATAATGCCCGCCTATTACATAGATTGCAGAAATCGATCGCATATTACAAGGATCAAATAGAAAGAATTCTGCAAGAATTTCACAAGAATTCTATTCTACAGAGCTTTTCCTAATGACGACTATCCCCAAGCCTTACCGTCATAACAATCTAGACTCAAAGAACTGAATCTCAATAGTTTCTCTACTGGCGTGTGAAGTCAGATTTGGTCCTGGCTTTTGAGATATTCAGGGGCGAGCTACGGGTTAAGCCTTTCAGATACTGGATGTTTCGACCAACCTAGGAAAGAAGAGGCGCATTCCAAATATACAACCACAAAATGGACAGATGGCATCGAAATCTAAGAGGAAATTGTTTTATTGTCCGCAACTCAAAGTGGTTGGAGTCTCTACCACCACATTTTTTGGCAGCTGGAAATACAAGGCACTTCAAAATCTCAATCAAAAAAGTCGATATTTCGAAGTTGATGTATCATAGTGTCGTTATTTCCTTGGACAAGCCAACTTTGCTGCCCAGGCGAGTCGTTCAGACTAGTCTTACTATTAACCTCGCACGCTCATCCCTCTCTTGAAGTATGTTCACTATTTGCGAGTCTCCTTGTGGTCCAAGCTTGCTCTTGCCTTACTTGCTGCTCCCAGGGTGCCCGTGTCTCGAAGTTGCAGAAAGTGTCTATGACCCTGGATGTTTGAGGGGACACCATAGCCTGGTCTAGTTTTGTGCAATGTAGGGAACTGTGGAGCAGGCGTCGTGAATATTTGCTGCAAGCCTCTTCTCCCTACGCCGGCGAGAACGCGTGTATGACAGACTCCGAGGCTTAGCACTTTTCTTCGTGTTCTTGGACATAGCTCACTAACTTTGGCACAAATAAGCTACGATCCGCCTGCATCGTGGCAGTATCTATGTTCTCCTCTAACACTACTGATTTGTGCTTGCTTAGGTTCTCAGTGGTTTGATGTTGGGTTTGCTTCGATGCTTTTAATATACCTTTCTTGTTTTTTTTNTTTTTTTTAGTTTTATGCTTTCCCTTACGTGTTGACAACCCCTTCCAGGATGTAGGATTTCTCTCTATCGTCGTAACGCGTTCACTAACGCATCATAAATAAATAAATAGTACATTGGGCTCTTCTACAGATGCGCCACCTTAGGGAATTTTATAAACTTCCACGAGCAATTTAGCAAAATTACCTTTTGGTGTTTTGGAACAGCTCATCAGGATTCTTTGAACATCACTAAGCAGTAGGTTGGGGAAGAGACCACTCAAAGGCAATTTTAAGAGAGACTGACCAAACGCATCCTTGACGTCTACATCGCAGTTGTTACGTAGTAGTGCGACGAGAGCTTCCACATTTGCGTCCTTTGCAGCAAGATGGATTGGGGCATCACCCTAAATAGAGCCATGTTTTGCTTTGCGCCAAATAGGAGGAGTATTGATGAACAACAATGGTAAAAGTATGAAGTACAACAATTCTATCCTCATTGAAATAAGAAGTTGATTTTAGGGTGGGGCATAGGGCAGAATCAACAGAGCACAGAGCTGTGTGAGCTCAGATGAGCTCTGCTCAGGGGAAACGAGGTGCACGCGAGTGGGCGGTGCCATAAGCGAAACGTCCTAATTTGGTTTTGCACTGCTGTTTGCTGTTTGTTTGCTTCCTGTCTTCAGTGCTGTTCGCACTTTGCAAACAGTTCTGAAGACAGGGAAAAAAGTACAAAAATGAGGAATGAGTCAACTAACGAAATGAAGGAGACCCACAGTGTCCGGGTGGAGCGAGCCTTCAAAAATAAAGTACTTGAAAGCGATCAAAGGTTATCGAATGAGTTAGGTCGAATTCTCGAAATGGACCTGGTTTAAACGACGGCTGGCGGGATCAAGGTCAAAACTCTACACTTTTGTTAAGAAACGTACTGGAAAACGGCAGAAGATGGTTGACGGTCAATGAAGGAATGTGGTCAATTCCTCAAATTAGGCGGGTTCAAGGTGGACGGGGCTAATGTTAACAATTTTTACCCAGTTTAGAAGCGTTCAAGAATGCTCAGATACTGGTAAAAAAGAGCAGAGGCCAGGAATGGGTCGAAAATGGAACTAAGCATGTAACATTATCTACAATAACAACCCAACGAGAAAATGTTCTAATGGTCCGTGAAGTATCTAAACATCTGTAAGGGGTCTCCAGACTGAAATTAAGGATTTGAAGCATTCTTAAAGTGGACGGCACTCTTTGCATTTAATCATAATCCACCACAGTTTGCCAAGTTCTTGAGGGGTGAAGCTCAGATCCATGTCTATGATTCCTCTTTTTTGTTCTTCCTCTGTCTTTGTTGCGACACACGCGTTAGTGTAGAGCCCAACTTGTTAATTATATGTGGTCTCAAACTCGAAACATGCCTTACTTTAAAAAAAAGGAAATAAAATCAGACATACATTTTCATCAACCAGGTTCACATTCGCACCACATGCTGCAAAATAGTTCACAAGATGTGCAGCATTGCAGAGCGCCGCATAGTGTATCACGTTCCGGCCCTAAAAGAAAACTACAAGACTTCTACAAAGTAATCAACAGGGTTCTGCTTCTATGAGGCAAAAGATGGATCAACAGCCGTCGGAAAGTGAACTACATATATCGCGACTGAAGAGCAAGAGCCTAACGATGCAAATTGCTCCTGTCTCATAACGTCATCTGATAATGAGTTGGACCATCACACGTCAGGGCATATGGTACAACAAAGTAACAATTCTCCCCAACAGTTAGTAGCATTGCCTTTCTATAATTCAAAGCTATACACTCCCTCTTTATCAGTTCTATTTTCCACATCAGGAGTTGGTATTTACAAAAGATGCAAGTTGGAATGAGACAATCAATGCCGCCCGGTTCATCCTACATCATTTTTGATCAAAGTTCTAATCCTGGTTGCGAAGCTAATTTTTTGTCAACACTCCAAAGACTCTATACTCTAGGGAACCTCCTCTTCCCAAAGCTTTTCCTAACGTCTGCCTATTTTGCACAAACATTGTCCATTAACAATCAGAGAACTACACAACTCTTCTGTGATCTTTAATTATATCTTTTAAAGGCACCCTTCACGTAATTTCGGGTAATCCAGCTTATGATGAAAAATGGAAGACAAGATCGAAACTAGTGCGACTGAGGTGAAGAAACTGCGTGCATCAGCGTTTCCAAAGTGAAAAAAGGCTTCGAAAAAACGTTAAAAAGGGGGCTGGACGTGAATGAAACTAGAAAAATGAAGAAGGGTGGGGCGTCCGGACGAGCTAAATAGTGTGTTTCACTGCGCGCGTGTGGGTCCTGGTGCGAAGAACAGGCAATGGTAAGCAAAAATTCATTCACTTATAAGCATAAATAAACAAAAAAAAACCTTAGT